AATGCTAAGAGGCCTATAAACTGACAGCGACTTGATGTTAATTGAGCATCTGCGGTATTTGGTGTATCTCATATCATTTTATTCGTTGCAGTAATACTTTGTAAGTCATCAATGATATTGCAGGCATCAGTAGCATGAGGTGAGATGCTCAGACGAACTTATGCCATGACGTGATTAAATGTGTTTGTGAGCAACGGGATGGAGCCGTTCACCATCAACGTAGGTTTTGGAAGAGGTATTGGCCCATTAGCATACTGCGCTGCATGGACCCGTATTTTTGAGTCAGTTGAATAATGAACAGTAAGTTTGAGCAACACAGAGACAGAAAGCCAGACTATCAGTTGGATGCAAACTGAGGGGCGTTTCAGTGACTGTTGAGTTTTCGGTTTCCTCGAATGGTACTGAATGCTGGCGTGAAACCAGAAAAATGCATAAGTATTGCGCGAGTCCTTTTTTTCAGGTGGAAAGAACCACTATCAGCAGGAGTAGCCATGTTTTCTACTTTGCCTCAGCCCCTACGATAAACAAAGTGGAGTTTATCTGAATCAAGACATCATTCTCTACTAATCCACTTATAAATGAGGTCCTCCATTACCTCATTACCGCTGCACTATGCTCGATACTTAGTGGCGCCGAAGATAGCTTAAACAGTGCTCACCTTTGTTTCAGCTCTCGGGGTGGGCTAAAGATATTGCAGCCTAAAATAGGCGCACTATGCATCCAGGTCATACTTCTTACGAGTTCTGGCATGACCGCAGCAGAACATCGGATTGAGTCTAATGTTAGCAAGGTTAGCGGTCAACGAGTTCCTACCTGTTTCTGCTCTAATTACACTAAATCACAATGACTACGGTGGGCTGGATCCATTGCTCTTCCCAAAACTGTTGGAGAAACAAAATCTTCTTGCTTCTTCGGCGTTTTTGGCCTGTATTTATTCGGCAGTCCATTCAGGGTGATGAGCTGTTGCAGAGAAACGAAGTCCTGTGTGAAATTTTGGCAACAAACTGGTATGATTGGCTAACGGTGGGAAAATACGGTGTTCTAAACCTGACGGAGCAAGAGTCATTAAGTTATTAAAAAATATATACAGCATATTCCAAAATTCGACAAACTGTTTACCCGATGCCACTGCACAAGTTTATCATATACAAATTCTCCAATCTTTCGGATGATGCTTGATCCATATTTAGGAAAAGACATATTACAACAGAGGACGTTATAGTATGTATCGTTATAGTCACGTCTACGCTTTGCTAAGGAGGTTCTAGCCTCGATAGTGAAAGTTGCTTCATCATATCGTTCAAGCACGATCGTTTTTCGGCAATATCTTTATTCGTGTATCGGTTTGACTGAACTACTGACGCTTTGTTTATTTTCCCTCTTAGGTATTTTCTCCCTCTGTATATTTCTTTCATTTGGGCCCGCAAGATGCGGTGTCGTTCTTGTAGTGCAAGTTCCACAGTCGCCGAATTACTTTCCCACCTCCTGTGCAGTTGTTCAAACATCATCATAACTGTCATCAGCCCTTGTCGATCCACTGCTGCATGAAGGCTTCTTGAAGACTTTGCCAAAAATTTGTTACCTGCCAGCGAGTTCTCCAGTTTATCCTACCGTCCGTCAATCAGCAGGTCGCCATGCAGGCCGTTTACTCTCTCTTGGAACCCAGGTTAATGTCTTCCTAGTGCAGCGATGATCGGTTCCTCTGAAACGTGTCCCCCTCATTGCCTATTTGACTCCTTCACTCTGGCGCGGCCATCGTCGATTCTTGTTTATGCTCTCACCCATTCGACGTTTTCTTGTCTTTTCCTGTGATTCCCAGCGAACATTGTTCCGTTCTGTGTTACGTAGACCGCAGTTCATAAGCAGCTTTCAGGCATAGGGTGCACGCTTCGCACAATAGGTTAGCATTGTGAACACAATGGTCGAATACTTCCTGTTTCAGGCACTCTCAGAGTTTCCCGGATGGGAACGTCTTCAGTCTTTGTAAAGTAGTACTCCGTGCCTTTTTATTCTTCTGTTAATTTCACATAGTGCGTTCTCTGCTACAGAGACGAACTGTTCTTGAAATACTTAGTTTCACACATCTTCAAGTCCGTTGACCTCAACAGGTCTCACGGTCACGTATTTGTCAAACATAATCTGAGTTTTCTTCAGGTTCATTTTCAGTCCTATTTTGATACTAGCATCGTTGAGGTATTGGATTCTTTTATGGAGTTCTTTTGGTGCCGTTCAGGGGATCGGAATGTTTTCCGCAAGCGACAGGTTTCTAATTGGCGCCCATTTATTTTCATTCCTTGATATTGCCAACGGGGTTCCTGAAAACGTGTTCTAACGCTGCTGTGAATAACTTCGGTGCTGTTGCATCGCCCTGTCAAACGCTCCTTCCCATTTTGAACGTTTTCGTGTTTTCGTTTAGCTTCACAGTGGCATTTGAAGCGCTCGACGATCAGATTTATGCATTTTCCTCGATTATCTGGTTCCCCAAGGAGAGTTCAATGGAGAATGGATTTACACCGAGTCTAAAGCCGTCTCGAAACTGACTACCCGCAGGCAAAGAGAAGCCAATTTTCGTTACTTGTTTTGAATTACTTGTCGTACCACATGGAGGTGATCCATATTTCTTCATCTACTTTTGAACCCTGCTTTCGACTATGGCTGGGCAGCATCCAATTTTTCTCGAATTATATCCGTCAGTTGTCTCTGTGATTTTTTCGATGATTGGCAACAAATAATCAGCCAGCAGTTCTTAAAATCCTGTGCTGTTATTAGTGGTTTAATCCATCATCGATATGTATGGAATTTTTATTTTTTGAAAGAGTGAAAACCAGCGCTAATGATTCATTCTCCTAATTCCGCGATTTGCACTGTAATTCCATTCCGAATTCTTCGTTAGGTGTCTTTCCTTGTTTCGCCTGTTTTATTGAAAGTGGTGCTTATGAAGACTTCTGTTAGTTGGTCGACTTCATATGTATCTTCAGTTCCTTCATTTTTACATATGATGTTGTTGTTTTAAAACTTCGTATACCACCACACTGAAGTGTTCTACTGTCTTGAGAATTTCATGCTTGCCTAAAAATCTGGTAGCAGTCCTGCCTTTCTTACTTTGAGAGCTAACATTTGTCGTTTCCCAACCGTTATTCCTTGATTTAATTTCTTCATGCTTCGGTTGTTTGCAATAATTTCCTTTACCAATCTACAGCTGAATGCGTCGGCTTAAAGTTTCGCCAAGTGCCACGTATTCGATTGTGGATTTCTGATCTGTTGCTGTCTTCATTTCTCTTCGCTGCTTCATTAGTTCTTCGCTTACGGTCGATCTTCGTCGTCTTCTCTTGCTCATTTCCTTTGTATTCCACGAACGATGTCGAATTTGTTATTTGGTTCGAGTTGGAACAGCGGACGATTCTTCTTTGAAGTTTCCATATCCAGTAATCCGCGGCTTCTTTTGAACAACTTTTTTCTTTCCAAAGCTGAGTCCAGGCACACTTTGCATCTGGCAAGCCGGTGGTCACTCGTCGCGTCAAACTCGTCCAACCTCGCCACCTCCTGTTCGTCATGTTGCTAAGCATCAAATCGATTTCGTATTTGTGTCGTCGTTTTTTTCCTTGCCATGCCCATCTTTTGCGCTGCATTTCTCTGAAGCGGGAGGCTCATAAAAAATAACTTGGCTCTTTCTATGTTCATGCATTTCTTCTAATTTTTCATGAAATCTTTAATCTCCTCTTTTCGATGGCTTGATGTAAGTGAATATGCTTGGATCACTTGGATTTAATCTCCGTTTGAAACTTTCAGAACCAGTCTTGCACACCGTTTTCAAGTATTTTTTATCTTTACCAGATTTTTCTTCAATCCTCCGAGGATAATGAACCCTATCCCCCTGTACTTACATTTACCGATCCTGTTTAGAACAGGAGGTGTCCACTTTTAAACTCGAACAACCCCTCATCCTTTCTTCTAACTTCGCTAAGTCCAACGATGCATCAATTAATTTCCCCAAATTTTGCTTCTAACTCTGGAAGCCATGTTTAAGCTGGAAATGAACTGTAGTTGCGTGTTGCCAGCGTCACTAAACCATAGCAACTCCGACCTGTAACCTGTTTTTTCTTAGCACCCT